TGCAGTGCATTTACAGCGCACGCTTTTCTATTAGAAGCTCATGATGTGTCTGTTTGTTGGTGAGATGGAGGAAAATCAAGGCTGTAATGGAGTATTCCGTAGAGGTTCTGGGTCAGGAGCAACATTCATCTCTTAGCCTTTTTCTGCTGAGCTCTGATATTTGTCCAACAGAAAATAAACGCCCAAAACCCACGGAAAGAGACGCTGAAAACCTGCAACAAACCTCCTCTGAATGTTTATGAGTCCACATGTTTCATCATCAGATGTAAATACACAAACTCACCTTTACAGGTCCAGCACGGCACAAATGGCAACTTAAATACAGAAATTATCTGTACAAAAAATAGTTTTACTTAATGTTGTTTAGTATACTGTTAACTTAAAGGGGACGACACACATCTTTTAATTGTTTTATGGTTGTTTGAGTTGTTAATATCCTCATCTTTGTGCACCACCATTGCTCTCCACTCTGTCCTCCAACTGCTGAAACCCAACCCCTCCCTCTGGTTTACTTACTTTCTTTGGCAATTGTATTTTCTGAATTAGTGGATGAGCAGAATAATTAATGTTTAACTGACGCTCTGTCAAAGGGGGCGGGACTAAGGGGCAGAATGGGACTGAAGAAAGAGATTTGACTCAATATGAAGTTTAAAAATGAACTGTATTTAATGTTACCTTACCATTCATTGTGTATGTGTGCTATAAAGAAACAGTGGATGAGGGGGGTTTCACCTTGTGAGCCAACCTCTGGGCCCTGCCAGAACATGTAGAAGTTGGTTCCAACAGAGCAACCAAGTGCAGGTTGGACCTGGTTTACACTGAAAAGTTGACAAGGTAAGTAAGTAATGTAAGTAATGTTTATTTAGATGGCGCATTATACAGACCACGGTCACCCAAAAAAGCGCTTTACAATGTTGCGATATTGTTCCAATCATTCCACACACGGTGATGACAGAAGCGAGTCGCCGAACACACAGGACCATCAGGTCCCAATCAACACCATCCATTCACTTTCATACCTATTGTGCATGTTTTTAGTGGTAGGAGAAACCGGAGCACCCGGACGAAACCTACGCAGACACAGGGAGAACATGCAGACTCCAATTAGAAAGGCCCTGTTCCGACCAGGATTCGAACCCAGGACCTTCTTGCTGAGAAGCGAGAGTGCTATCCACTCAGCCACTGTGCCGAGGTGACAAATAAATCTGATTTTAAAAGTTATAATGGATCTGTTGGTGGTTTGGGTTTTCAGAGGAACAAAGCACAGTGTCCCAACACCAACAGTGATCTTCATTTGTGTTTGAAATGTTACAGAAGAAGAAAAAACTGAATATTGCATGAATATAAATATTTAATGTTATTGTTATTTTTCACATTGCCACTTCATTTGTAGAGTGTAATGAGATGATACTTCTCAATCCTTAAATAAACAAATATAATAAATGGAAATGGCTAAATAAAATGTGATTTGAGCTTTTATTTCAGCATATATATATATCAGCATTCAAAACATTCCCTGCAAAAATAATTATTATCACAGTAAAAGGAATACAAATAGATCTCGAAACTCGGCTAATGAGCAAGAGTTGTGCATGGACTGATTTAATGAAACACTGTTTTTTCCGATTGTAAATTATGCATGAAATACAACATTGAGTCAAAACATTATAGATTTTGCACTCGCGACCTGTGGTAATGTCTGAACAGCTGAGCTTATTCACCAGTTTATGCTGACCATCTGCAGAAGGGCACCCTGGGAAATTAAGTAGGCAAACACGTTAATTAAAAGTAAATGAAAACAGAAACTTTCAGATTGGCCTTCCATGTTATCTTTGGCAAAGCAAAAATATATTAAGCATTTTTTTCTTTAATGTATTATCCATTTTACCATTTTCCTCAAAGGAAGATTCACCTTGTTGCTCATTGAAAAGCACGAATGTTGGTTACTACAAACGAATAGATCTATTATTTCCAATCTAAATATTCATGACAAGTTGAAAAAGAACTGATCTTCAGATATGGCACGATTTCAAGTTAAAGTCGATGCAGGCAACTTTCAGAAAGTGTACGAGAAAATAAATAATCTATGACCTGACTGATTCTGTGGATTACAGATTTAGAGGAAAATGTTATATATAATTTATGCTGCAGTGCTTGTCCAGTAGAAATTCCAGATGTGAAGTATTTCAGATCCAAACGTAGTGACGACACGGACAGTAAACGTGTCTCTGATTGGCCGCTGAGGTCGATTCACGAGGTTTCGCCGCTCGCTGTTCACACGTTTATAGCTGTTTACAAAACTAATCATGATCACACAATACACAAGTCATTGTTCTGAATTAGCCCCGAACCTGTCACCATGTTTTCAACTTTTTTTCTTGACACACAGCTGTCTGTTGGTTGATGGTTTATTTCTCTGTGTGCATTAGGAACGAGGGCTGCGTATCCAGACTAACTTCTCTCTCTATAACAAACAAGGTTTTCTGGCTTATCAGTCTAGTACTTAAATAGGGGCCACCTTTTTAACTTTGGGTCTGGACCATGATCCATCATCACTGTCTTGTCTTACTACAAATTACCTTGAAATCTGTGCAGTTGTTGTAGCCTGAGACCGACGCCTGTCCTGATAAATTGAAAGCCCTCAACAGGCCATAGAAATGCACTGTTGAATTGTTATGGACAAAGCTTACAGTAAATAACACAACTCTGAGAATGCAAACATTAACTCATGCTAGCATGCTTATCTAAACTGTTTGCTAAATGAGCCGGGACTCAATCTATTTCGACAAGAAACACACGAGTACAGTACGAGTAAACAAGCAATTGAATATTAGATAACCAAGTGTGGCATTACAGAGCGGACATTTAACCAACAACAGCACATTCTACCAAAAAATGTTCCTAATTTGTTCTCTGATCTAAGGCACACAGGTAAGCTAAAATTAACTGGACAGAGGCAGAAGTTCAACGATAGATGCTTCGTTTTTAATAGTGCAACATTTGTTCAATTATGATGTCCTGTACGTCCGCAGGGCGCACGTCTGTGCACTGACCATCACAGTCTCTCGGCCATTGTCCTTTGTTTAACTCATCTGCAGTTTGTCCAAACAAGAAGGGCACGCCGTCAGCTCCCTACATTAAAACATTGACACAATGAAATAAAACAACTAGGGCTGTCAAAATTATCGGGTTAACTCACGTTATTTCAATTTTTCATTAACGCGTAAAAAAAAAATTAACGCATTAACGCATGTCCGAATGACCCGCCCATTTATCCATAATATCACTCAGAATGCAGCGGACTCATGCGTTTGTGAGATGGCATCAGAGCAGGTAGGCCCTCGGGGAATTCAAGTTTTAAAAGAATACACGCGTGACCGCGGGGCTGTTGTTTGCTGTGAACTGAAGTCGGCCTCCCGGGGCACACACCGGGGGCAGCTGCGGCCGCTCTGGAGAGCAAATGGTGCCGCGGTTAGACCATACACGCACAGAACTACTGCACGTTGTGTGCTTATCTTTAAATCCTGTGCGTAACCTGTGCACGCAAACACACCGCAGAAGTGGCCGTGTCTCCTCCTGAAACTAAACTAAACTAAATTAAAGCTGGGGTACATACATTTTCCCTTTCATTAACAGCTCATTTTGGTTGTGCCCAAAGTAAAAGGTTGTGAGCAAATCTAACAGATTTAAGTACATTTGGTATGAATGACAATGTGTCATTACATTTGATAATCTGTTTTAACTTCAGTTGGGGTGGATTTGAAATAGAATGTTAAAAAGGCGATTATTTGTGAGTTAACTCACCATTTCTATGCGATTCTTCAACTAAACATTTTGTATCCTTTGACAGCCCTAAAAACAACATTTACCACATTTAGACATAAGACGTACACACAAGATAAAAACGTAACATACCGGAAAGCAAAGTGTAGCACTCCCCGGACCATACCGAGACCCCGAGCCTCTGACCATTCTCAGCCATGCGGTAGCAGGGCCAATGCGCACAATGCTAAAAACAAGTTACGTTAGTGACTCAGCCGACCACCGGTACATCAAAGTTGAGGACCACTTGGTTACTGGCCTTAAGCCTCAGCCGCCGGTTTGACGCCCCGGCACGACCCAGAGCAAGCCCAACTTTCGCCTGCCTCGCTCGTTGGATAGAGGAGAGGCAAGGTAGAGCAAGTGACGCGCTTTTATCATAAACTGTAAAGCTTTTATACTGCGCCCCCTACTTCCAATAGGGACCTCACACCAGCTATATCTGGTATAACACAAGTTAGATATTTGCTTGTTTCTGACACTGGTAGCCGTGTTATATACATATGTTCACCAACATCAGCTGTGGATTGATTTGATAAAGCAGTTACTAACAAATACAATGCATTTTGTAGACGGAAATGATGGCTGTTCACAACGTGGCTGCTTTATGAGGACCGTCTGTCTCTGATAAATATGGAGGACTCAGGCTGTTAATGATCCCCTATGGACATTTTTGATTAACATCAACCTCCTGTGGAACACCTTATGAAGGCAACACTGGTGCCTTCGCTAAATTTACACTTACAGTAACGTGATGAAATGATTGTCAATTACCTGGGAATGAATCATACCTGTTTCAACATACCTAAAGTACATATTATAATCATTTCTACTAGAAAAGAATGGCTGTACATTAAAAGTAATGTTCCCTTTACTATTCTCTTTGCCACTTTTGTGTCTTTTCTTCCCGTCTTCATTTATCCTTAATTAAAAATGCATATCAGCAAATTCCAGATTCATGTTATGTGATTGGATTAAGTATAACAATAGGACATACACCCCCACCACACATGACAGGCCGACTATTTTCAGATTTAATTCCCTCAGCAGGTTCAGTTTTTTCATTGTAGGCAGCTTTGTGATGATCTTTTGTGTCAAATTTAGCACAAAAACACATTCCATAAACACCTCCTCGTGTGGGGTGACAGTGGCTTAGTGGTTGTACGGTGGACTTTCGCACCATGGTGGTTGAGATCGTTCGCCTTATCATTCGAGCTACACCAGGAAAGCAGCTCAGTATGAGAGACAACGGCAAAGAACTTTTAGAATTACATTGAAAAGGTAGCTCTAAAGAAAATAAAGCTACCTTTTCAAGACAAGAACAATTATACAATAAATAGTGGCGATGGCTGAATGCACTGTCCAAGTAAACACATGGTCGGGTCACATTTCTGCTCATGTAACACTTATGGTCGTAGTTGAGAGTGTTTAGAATATCTTCCTTGTTTTATTTTTAGCGTTTGCACTGTTACGCAAGAGTAACGACATCAGCTGCATCCTCGTCTGAGCACACTTTTCAATTAGGACCTCCCAAGTTTCCTCTACCTGCCTGCGTGGGTCACCTGAGTAAATCCTGTCCAAAATATGCTAATTCTTGTCCTTATACACAGTCAAATGAAAATAAAAAATAACAGGTGGGTGTTTATATTCTGTTCAGTATTACACATGCTGATTATTATCGGTCCCACAATTGATCTCTTTTATATATTTATTTACTTAAATATGTATCGTTATCATTATATTCTGGCTGTTTGTGTAGTGCATGTGTTTTTATCTTATATAATAAAAACTAAAAAGTTATCATAAACTGGCAACACACCCGTGTATACACAGGGCTGTGAAAAGGTATCTTAAAATTAAAGTTCTTCATTAAATACGAATCAAATCAGATGGACATTCAAGTATTTATGGACTTTGAAGCCCAGAGGCCACTGTTATTAAGTTTTAAATGATCGAAGGATGGCCCACTGCACGGTGCAGAGAAAACGTGATCTGAGGCTGGCACAATGGGCCTCATGTATGAAACTTGCGTACGGCCAAATCAGGGTGTAAATGAGGCGTACGCAAAGAATTTACACTTTTCTGCATTTTTCAATCTGGACGTGAGCGTACGGTACGCACAGAATTCAGGAGGTGGTGTAAATGTATACGCTCATGTCACCCTTCATCACAACACGCCAAAACACGCATGAAATTCAAGATTTGGACAACAAGGAACATGTTTCCACTCTGGCAAAATTATAAGCTGTGTTTTCATTGAGCATCATGTTTCGGAGTTAGAATTTGCGCATCAGAAAACGTCTAACTCTCTGGAAACACGCAAACTTTGAATAAATCACAGATCATGAAGAGGAGCCTCTTCTGTTTCTATGATTTTAAATCTGACTTCTGTGTGTATTATTTTGATCTGTATGTTTTTAAAATGTGTAGCGCTTTGTGATCCTGGACAGTGAAAGGCTGTATACAAATACACTTTACGTACGCACGGCTATTTGTATTCCTCATTCACAATCATTCTGGTGAGGCCGTCGTACGTGCTCGTGCTTCCAGTAAAAGTTATCTACGTATAAATTGTCTGACATAGTGAGTTTGTGTGAGCGATGCCAACAGTGACTTAAAATTAAAATAGACTGTGTAAAATTAAGATAAAGAATAAAATAAAATAAACTCTGGGGCTATAATTGCACTTGGTTCGGAAGTACAGTATTTACAGATTATTATTGTACTTTAGCAGCGTAGAATATGAGAATATGAATATGAGCAGAATAATATAATATATAATATCAACAGGTAAAGTGACTAGTGAATGGTGAATGGCAGAAATATCAGATGGATATGTACTATTGTAATATAATACTAATAACAGTAAAGTTACTAATGAACTATCAGTGACATTTGTACAGACTCAGCAGTTCTTGTTACACATTATCATTGTACAGTCTGACAGCAGCAGGGAGGAAGGACCTACGGAACCTCTCCTTCACACAGCGAGGATGAATTAGTCTGTCACTGAAGCTGCTCTCCAGAGCAGAGAGAGTGTCCTGCAGGGGGTGACAGTCATGGTCCAGCATAGATGTTAGTTTGTCCAGGGCCCTCCTGTCCCCCACCTGCTGCATTGTGTCCAGGGAACAGCCCAGGACTGAGCTGGACTTCCTGATGACCTTGTCCAGCTTCTTCCTGTCCCTCTCTGTGATGCTGCTGCTCCAGCAGACCACACCATACAAGAGGCTGATGCCACCACAGATTCATAGGTCTTTAGGTGTGGCCCCTGCACTCCAAAAGACCTGAGCCTCCTCAGCAGGTAGAGCCGGCTCTGGCTTAAACCTTCAACCCTGCAAATATGAGGAGGATTGACAAACATGAAATACAATTTTAAAGCTTGTGGTAGGCAGAACACTGTTTGCTTAGAGTCCTTGGTTTTGCAGTTTTGCATTTACTGGTAATGGAAGGGAAAACTGTTGCACCATGGCCCTTTTAACAATGGGTGTCACACAATTTACAGTGTAGGAAGCACTGGCTCGGGTCAATGTGACCACACAGAGCAGCTTCTCACTGAGACACACAAGACACCCTTTCAGCAAAATGCTCTTTCAACATTGTAAAAAAGACAAAACAAATACAACTTTTCACACATTTTTATAACGCGTAAGAAAGGTCTCTCATCCATCATCTGTACTTCAGTTTGCAGATTTTACCAAAGTGATTAGATGGACAGAGCTTGGCCCATTCTCCCAATTGAACGTTATGGACTCTGACTCATGGAGCTGGCCATAAGCTGCCGTGAGTTGCCTCTCCTGCAGGAAAACTGGGAGAAATGTCCTTTCAGCTCTCCCTGCCCATCCATCAAGCAGTGAATCTCCCAGTGAATGTGAAGCAGTGAATGTTCCCTCACAATATAATTGTAGGCAATACTATGCTCACAATAAGATATCAAAACATGGTATTTTTTCGAAATATTACTATATAATCATATCATCGTCACAATATATCGTGATTATGTCCAGCTCAAAGGTTTGTTTTATTGCTTTGCTTTTGTGGTTATTTTTGTCCATCTATTAGAGCCAGCCATGAACTGCTCCAACTGATTTACCTCTGCTTTGTCCCGGTGCCAAAAGGGTCCCACTGGAAACAAGATCATTATGGTTCCAGGCTACAGCAACAAAGTGCAATTTTATGTAGGAGTCCATTGGTGATTGGTTTCAGGATCTGTCTGCGGGTATGGTTTTGGGTTTTTAAGATAGTTTAAGGGTTTTTATAAAAGCGTTAAAAGATATTTTTAACATCCCTGCCTTTACATCACATCCCTGCCTTTACATCACACCAAATAAAAGGCGCCTCCAATCATCAGTCTGTGTTCTGTAGCGGGAAAAGAAACTACATTTGCCGTTGCACTTTATTTTGCACTTTTGTATTGTGGTTCTTTTAAACTGCACTCCAACCCACTCGCAGCCTATCCCAATACACCAACAGTAGTTAGCAGCAAAGTTTTAAACTCTGTGAAGAGAAAAAACCTTACAGGTGTTTGTTCTACGTCATGGTGCTACGTCCCTTAGGACTTCGCTAGTGGGATATCACTCGTGACCCCCAGGTCACACGCCAGAGAGATCAAAATAATTTGCTCCAATCACCAGCCACCCTCCTCTATAAAGGCCCCTGCACAAGGCCGCACCCCCTCTTTCACTCTGGCGCCGATTGAGATCTACCTCAGTACGTACTTTATTCCAGAGAAAGATGTCTTCTGATGCTCGTCCGAGTTCCCCTTCGCCCTCCGGCGTCGGACGTCGTCGTTGCTCGACGTGTCGAGTCAGGCTCCAGCGCACGGACCAGCACTCCAGCTGCTTCATGTGCCTGGGCCCGGGCCATGTGGCGTTGAGCGCCACCTGCACCTCGTGTCTCGCTCTCCCCAGGGAGGAGAGTGAACGCAGGCGCGCGTTCTTCGCCGCTACAGCGCCCCGTCCGGACTCCTCTCAGGACGAGGAGTCTGAGACTGACTGGGCCCCACTCGACCTTCCACCCGTGCCCGCGGAGTGGGGTGACTGTGAGGACGGAGAGGTTTCGGAGGTCGGCTCTCTCCTCACGCTGGACGAGGTGGTGTCGAACCCGGAGCCGGACCGCTTCCCAATGGACCACATGCCTGGGTTCTACTCCTCCGCGGCGGCCATCATGGATGCCCCCCTGCCACCGCAGCCGACCCAGAGGGCGGAGGACTTCACCTCTGGTTACGCCACCACTCGAGGGAGGAGGAGTAGGATACAGCCCACGTTGTGCCCGTGGATGGACCCGATCGTCCATTACGCGACACATGAGTGGCCAAAGCCCCTAGCGGCCAAGAGGCCCGCTTTGGGTTACGGCATGTATTGCAGCGTGCAGGACTGGTCCTGGACCGGCGGGGTCCCGGACATCGAGGATTCGGTCCGCATGGCCCTGCACCCCTCCGCATCCGTGTGGCCCGGCACCAGACCTCTCCTTCCCTCCGAGCGGGACAGGACGTCTTTGGCTATGCTGGACAGATGTTACGCCAATGCGGCACAGGTCGTCGCCGTGGCGAATAACATGGCCTTCATCACGGGGGCCCTGGATAGGTCGCTCTCTTCTGGCCAGGCGCTCAGGGGAGACACCTTATCACAGGCGAGGACCACCTCAGCGGCGATCCTGCGCATGTGCCAGGCGCTAGCTGTGGATGGCGGCCGCACCATGGCAGCAGCTCAAGTCGGGGCCAGGCACCTTTGGCTTGGGCTAGCTAACATCAGGAGGCGGAGAAGAGGCAGCTGCTGGACCTGCCTGTTTCCCAGACGTCCCTCTTCGGTCCGGACATGCAGACCCTGGTGGCTAGACTGGAGACCGCAGCCAAGGACTCGGCTAGCCTAGCCCAACACCTAGCGCCGAGGCGCGAGGCCCGCCCACCAGCACAGAGCCGGGACAGAGGCAGGGAGCGTTCGCCCGGGAGGCGCCCTGGCCCATATCCACGCTCTGTGGCCTATCGTCCCCCCTCGACGAGGCCCCCGGGTCCAGACAGGCCCACGGGTCCAGACAGGCCCACGGGTGGCTCGCGGGACCAACGCACCCACCGCCGACCTCCCTATGGCAGAGGAGGTCGGGGTGGGAAGAATTCTTTCAATAAAGGCCGACCGGCATTTCATCATTACTCGCTGTCTGAGTCTCATTTGGGGGTATATAACATGTCAGATAATCTTGTGAATTCTGATTGTGTTACTTCTCGAGCACATAACGTTGCTTCGCTAGGCCTGCAGCCCCCAGAGCAGGGTTTGCAGTGCGCTACGCGAGCTACGAGCTCCGGTTCTCTGGTTCATGCTATGCCCTCCCAGAGAGAGGTCAGGCGGAGGGATCTGGTGAGTAGTGGTGTGTGTGCTTCGGCCGAACGCGTGTTAGCATCTCTGAGCTACAAGGCTAACACGGGGTCGCCCACTCCAGGGGCTCGCCCCCCCCTCCATGAGGCAAGAGCCAGGGGGGGGCACAGCAGCCGAGTCACGTGGGATGAGCAGTCCCGTACTTAGTGCGTGGAGGCAGCACTGGAGCCGCTCAGACGCGCAGGGGTAAGAATTTTAACCTACATAGACGACTGGTTAATTCTGGCCTCATCCAGGGAAGTGGCCGTGAGCCACACGCACGGGGTCCTGTCCCACATACAGCGTCTGGGCTTTGTGGTGAACAGGGAGAAGAGCAAACTGCAGCCAGCTCAACGCATGATTTATCTCGGCCTGCAGTTAGACTCTGTGACATTCCGTGCTGCATTGTCCGTGGACAGATGGATGAACATTACCCGTCTGGCCAGGGAGGTTCTGGCGGGCCCCAGAGTCCCCGCTCGGCGCCTCAGGTCCCTGCTGGGAATGATGGCGGCGGCTCATGCTGTGGTGCGGCTAGGCCTTCTCCACATGAGGAATTTTCAGAGGTGGTTCTCACGCCTCAGGCTTCACCCCTCCCGGGACGGGGGGAGGCTGATCTGGGTTCCACAAGTGGCAGCATCGGACATCAGGTTCTGGCTCACTCCGGGTCTATTGCGGGACGGAGTGACTCTGGCCTGCGCCGTGTCTCACGTGGAGGTGTTCACGGACGCGTCGCTCGAAGGATGGGGCGGGGTCCTCGGCCAGAGTTCTGTAGGAGGCTGCTGGTCGGACTCAGCCGTCACATCAACCTGCTGGAGATGGAGGCAGTGCACAGAGTACTGCTGCACTTTGCTCCTCAGCTGCAGGGGAGACACGTGATGGTGCGCTCAGACAACACCACAGTGGTCTCCTATCTGAACAGGCAGGGGGGAACCAGGTCCCCCGCTCTCCATCGCATGGCGACGGTGACGCTGCTGTGGGCGGCGCTTCACCTCCTGTCTCTCAGGGCGCGCCACGTCCCGGGGGTCCGAAACGTGGGGGCCGACAGGATGTCCAGGGGGGGCCCACTCCAGGACGAGTGGGGCCTGGCCCCATGGGTAGCTGCGGAGATCTGGCGGAGGTTCGGCCGTCCAGTGGTCGACCTTTTCGCCAGTGCAGAAAACGCACAGTGCCCGTCCTGGTTCGCCTTAAGGGCCGCGGACGAGCCGCCCCTAGGCGTGGACGCTCTGGCTCATTACCCCTGGCCAGAGGGCCTGCTGTACGCTTTCCCACCAGTGCGTCTCCTGCCGGTCCTGCTGCGGAGGATCGAACAGGAGAGGAGGTCGGTGATCCTGGTGGCTCCGGACAGTCCGCATGCCCGGTGGTTCCCCTTCCTGAGGGGCATGGCGGTTATGGAGCCCTGGGCCCTCCCGGACGAGCCGGGGGCTCTAGTCCAGGGGGGGGAGCCCTGTTTTCACGCCCAATAATCGGCCGCAGGCTCTGGGTTTGGAGGCTGAGAGGCGGAACCTCGTAGACCTGGGTCTTCCCCCTGCGGTGGTGGAGACCATTCAGGGGGCGAGGGCGCGGTCCACTGTGAGGGCCTACGCCACGAAGTGGAGGCTCTTCAGCGACTGGTGCGTTTCTCGTTCCTGGGACCCCAGGCGTTGCCCGCTGGAGGGGGTCCTGGGATTCCTACAGGAGCTTTTTGACAAAGGGAGGGCTGTCGCCACCTTGGCGGTGTTCGCGGCAGCCATTACCTCGGGTCACGACGGATTCGGGGGGGTCACAACCCGCTCTCATCCGTTGGTTAAACGTTTTCTGCGGTTTGGGACCTCAGGGTGGTCCTTAGGGGGCTGTCGGGTCCGCCTTTTGAACCGGCGGCGGAGGCGAGTCCCAAGTGTGTCGCTTTTAAGTGTGCTTTTAAGAGTGTGCTTGCGGGCGTTGGCGTCTGCTAAGAGGGCGGGCGACTTTTGTGCGCTCTCTGTCCATGCGTCTTGCCTGTCCTTTGGAGAGGGCGACGGCATGGTGGAATTGTGGCCCAATCCGGCCTTTCTCCCCAAGGTTATCACGTCGGCCTTTAGGTTGAGAGTCATCAGGATTAGGGCTTTCTATCCGCCACCGCATGCCTCCCCCGAGGAGGAGCGGCAGCACCTTCTGTGTCCTGTCAGAATGCTGAGGCATTACCTGGCCATGACGTCGTCATTCAGGTTGGGTGATCAGTTGTTTGTGTGTCTGGGCCCCAAGAACAGGGGCGCCCCGCTGTCGGCTCAGTGGCTGGCGCACTGGTTCGCCACGGCGGTGCGGTGGGCGTATCAGACGCAGGGTCTGGCCCCCCCGGTGGGCTTCAGGTCGCATTTCACGTGTGGGATGGCGGCCTCTACGGCCCTTCTCAGGGGGGCGTCGGTCGAGGACGTCTGCCGTGCGGCTTCTTGGGCGTCGTCCTCTTCTTTCGTCCGGTCTTATCTTTTGGATGTGTCGGACCCTTAGCTACGAGCCCATCAGGCCAGCCCGGCTTGGCAGAGTTCAAGAGGGGGTGCGGCCTTGTGCAGGGGCCTTTATAGAGGAGGGTGGCTGGTGATTGGAGCAAATTATTTTGATCTCTCTGGCGTGTGACCTGGGGGTCACGAGTGATATCCCACTAGCGAAGTCCTAAGGGACTACGCACCTATTCGTAGAACTTAAGTTACATTAGGTAACTATGAATTCATAAATATTATAACAGCTTGATTTGTGGCCATACTGAGGAACATATTGTGTATGATTCGTAATGGTGCGTTTATTTTCTTTCTTTCTGTGTCTTTTCACTAGAGTCATTGCTGCAGAAGTCAAGCCCCTGCTCTGAAGTGGGGAAACCATGTAACCCCTGTCTGGACGCTACTAAAGCCTGTAATCTCAACGACACCTGTAAACGACTACGCTCCAGCTACACCACAATCTGCTCCAAGGCCACACCCCCTCAACCCTCTCTGGCCAATCAGGAGCCCTGCAGCCGGAAACGCTGCCAAAAGGTGTGAATGTCTCAAGGTTTCAAAGTGAAGAGAGAATGAACTAATATATATATACTGTATGTATATGTATATATATATATATATATTTATATTATCATCATCATCATTTTCATCCCTTTATTTCCATTTCTGGGTCAGAGCTGCCAATATATGTATATAATACATATATTATAATACTATACTATTATACTAATACTATAGAAGTATTTTAGCTCACGACCTTGAATGATTTCCCTCTGCTTGCAGGCGCTGCGTCAGTTTTTTGAGCGAGTGTCATGGGAGCTAAGCTATCCCCTGCTATTCTGCTCCTGCCGGGACCAGGCCTGTGCAGAGCGGCGCAGACGTACCATCATCCCAGAATGCTCCCACCAGGAGAGGCACAAGCCCAGCTGTCTGGAACTGCAGCAGCTCTGCCGCTCCGACGCCCTGTGCAGGTAAGAGCCAGTCACACACACACTTAACTTCGTAGTATTTGCCTGATGAATTAACAGAAGCTATCAAGCCGATGAGAAGTGTATTATTAAGTAAACATACAACAGGAACCTATAACAGAACCTTTCTATACACAGCACAGAGGAAGTAGTTCAATTACAGCACAAAAATAGATTTCCTTTGACAACGACACCTTGTTTGGACAGAGCCAGAGAATTCAAAGGATGTTCACGAGGATTTAGCCTCCATTAACCTCCAGTGGAGAGTGGAGCAGCGGGATCTGGTGGGGGCAGAGTGTCTGGACGGCCTCAGAGGGCATCTCATCCCTGGCTGTGCAGAAGCAGCACCGGTGCTCAGGGGCCATAATGACTGACACTCAGTGTAATTAAATGTTCTCTTTGCCACAAGTAACGTATAATCGCCCACTGAGAAGTCTGTAAGGCTCGTGACAAGAGCAACTTGTTTGTTTTAGATATGTGTATGGACCAAACATGCTTTATTTTAGGTTATACCATTCTCTTTCAACCACCGTACTACAGCCACAACACAAACTTTATTAAGTTGAAAGAGAGGGTTTGATTTACTAGCTGTATCTTTTCAAATTAAATCATCTTTAAAGTAAAATATTTAAATACCAATCTCATTTTGAGGATCTCTTTCAAAGTGCCAAGGCTCCTATTACAATTGTTTTTATTTCAGTGGAGTTAAGACGGCCTTCATGCTATTTTTCCTGTTTAAAATGTTCTTAAATCATGGTTTATGCTTAAAAAGGTTGTAAGATGAAGCCATTTTGAAAACATCGGTTTGTGTGTGCGCTAAACGCAGAGGCAGGTTGAAAAGCAGAAGCGAAATTCCCAGAGCTACATACCAGCTCCACTCTGTTCCTTTCAGATTGTCTCACATATCTAATGGCGTGAATAGTTTTGTCAGACTGTCTCTCCTTGAAACCGTGTCAGACAGGAGCAGTGCATGATCATGAAAGTGCTTGTCGGAGTTTTGAGAGACTTCCTCTGTGAAAGAGTACAAATCCTGTCCACTCTCCCAGCTGTCAAGAGCAACTATCTTTTCTGACAAAGACTGTGTTTCAAACCGACTATGGTGCTGTAATGTTGTAAAGACCGGAAAAAGACTGTCTCTTTTCATCAAAGCGAGAATGATCTGTTGTGTTAAATTTGTCAAGAAGGAGCATACTTCTATTTTTACAAAAACAGTGAATAAATGGAATGTTTTCAGGTGAGTGGGAGTAGATATGTCACATGCCAATGCAAAGTAGGTCATCCAGGCCAGTAAATTGTCACCAGCACTAACAGAAACTTTAGCTATAGCAACGATTTTAAAAGATATTAGATATTAGTTATTCATATTAGTTATTATTTTTTACCAAACAGCCGCAGCCGCCCCACTGTGGCATCAGGTGTTCCCAGAGGTAAAGTGTCTTGCCAAGGACACAATGACAGTAGTCAGTGGGATGGAAATCTTGAGCTACTTCCGCTTTAGTACAAATGAATGTGTTTGTTTTTTTGTTCCAACCAGCCCCGGACCCCGTTTGACTTACATCGAAAAGTAAACTTATACTCAAGTAACCGTTTGCGTCACACTCATCATTTTGAGCTTTAAAAAAAATCCACGGTTTAGCACTCTCTATGGTCCTTGGCGTTTATGTTGTGATGTTGTCTTTGTATTTCCAGATCAGAATGGTCAGAATTAACCAATCACGCCTTCATTCGCATGGGTAACTCAAGGTTGCGTTAGCCAGAGTTTATTGTCGTTATGAAAAGAAAGTTTTGACTTTCCAGGTAAAAGGCAAATTGTGACGATCTTTGGAAATCAAAAAATCCAAGGCACTCGCGGTTAATAGTTTAGAAAGTTTAAAAAGCCTTTATTTTCTCATTGGCTGTAGATTAAAATACGCACTATTGTTGTTATGGCCTGAAGCTAACGTTGCTCCAGCTAGCTTATGTTCAAAATGGCTTCTTCTGCATTAAGGCTAACACTATGGATGACATCAGCACTTGGTCAGTCCACTCCTAATATATGATCATAATATACTGTAGATGGACAAAGCTGGACAATCAAAATGAAGCCCTATAGGGAAGTGCTCATGGATGAAGCTTTGCTCCAACTTTCTCCAATTGATTTACATTGAAAAGTAACCTCCTCTAGCTCAGTAACTTTGTCAAATGAATCCATGGATCAGAGCTCTTTTCAATCATGGTGTGTTTATATTGTGAAATTGCCTAAACAACTGACCAATCAGGAGCCTCTATCACTGAATGCAAACTTTAGCTAGTGAGTGGCGCGAGAGGCGAAAGACCGGAGTTGCTCCTGATGTCATAGTACAAAAGTGGCTCAAAAACAGACCCAAAGTTAAAGTTTAGAAGTTCTAATATCCAGGTAAAAACACAAACACAGACTAGATATATGAACACCAGGAAACACGACAATCTGGCAAATGAGGCAAGGAGGACACAAACGAAAAGGCACGTCAAGGGTGGGGCAGTAATCAACAACAGGAAGTACACCTGGGGACAAGAACAAGAAAGGGTGATTTCAAAATAAAACACAGAACAGAACAGGACATGACACCTGATTGGCTATGGGTAACGTCAGCACTCGGTCAGTCCATTCCTGAATAAACCATGATTATGTACTAACAAGCCAGTTAATAATAAAAGCGGGAGCCAAGAAATGTAGGTCTGTAAGTGCTGCATAAGAGCGGCCCTTTAATAAAACACAGACCGAAGAGAGTGAGTAAAGTGCTACAGGATCTTGTGCTATTTGGGTGCTGTAATTTACGCAGCCTATTAAAGCCATTAGGATGATATGTAACTCGTCTGACCCCGGTGTCATCAGCTGTGTCTGCTGCCGGAGGAAAGCACCGAACTGAATGATTTAATTAGATGCACTTACTCTGAGCACAAATAAACATTCAAAACCCTCCTTTTCACTGGTAACTTATGAACGGGCCTCTTTTCCACCAACATTGGGACAATAATTACATCTGATTTGAATTTCTTCTAAGATATTTTTTTTCCAGCCTGGTTAATAGGAGGCTGAAAAGATGAAAGAAGGAAGTGTGGTGAAAGTAGTTGACATTTAAAAACGACAGATGCTCTGCTATAATTCTCATGACCTCATCTCCAAACCTTTCTCTCCGGCGATTGCTAACTCTTTGAAGGACATACTTACAAGTATAAACTCTCTCGCGAGGAGGTTGTTTTTATTAATAATTTGAAATGTAGAGTGCTGCCTGCTTCATTGAAAGTTCCCAGATGTATTTTGAGAATATGTGATGGATGCTTTCCTTCTTGCCTTTCGCGCACTCTAACAGAACTTGTTCATGGTCTGATAAAAGAGCAAATGTTATGTCATACATCACATGTGTATTATTTACACCAGTCGTCCGGGCCGTACAGGGTGACGCTGGGCTGAATAAAATGTTTTTGAGTTTCATTAATCAATCTGCAAACATTCCAGGGCAAAGTTGTTGCACATGCACCAACACTGTTTTAACCTCTTAACACCACCTCATTATGGCTCGTGCACAAAAGTTGGGCATACCCAAATGTCTTTGCATATTCAAAAATACATCTTACACACCACATGCTTGTTTGATGCATCATTTTAAAGCTAGAGCCTTCTAGTTTATTTAAATATACACAAGAATAATATATGTCATTCCCATTTCACTCTGTATTGTTTGAAGTTTCGGGAAAAAAGCTGTTTTATCAATAAAAAAAATATTGCATTTATAAAAACCCTAACAACAGCATACTTCATTGTAAGCTCGCAATATTCAAACCCTATGGGCATATTTTAGTTACAACAACTGTCTAGACCTCTAAGTTTTACAGTTTTGATGCAGTTTTCCTTTACATAAACTAGTGCCAAACTCATTTACTCAAGTTGTAGGTCATCCATCACCATAAAAAATAAATGTTTATGTTTTGGTAAGTTACCTCTCTGTCGGATTTTGTTACAGTTTTTTACTACTTTCCAATGTCTTTTCTCATGCTTACTTTTGTACACAAAACAATAGTATATCCAGATCTCTGGCCATAGCACAGAAAGATTTCAGTCTTTATAATATATCTACATGAACTGAGGAGCGCTAGGGGCCTGATAGAAACGAACAAAGGGCCAGGGTTTCCCCACCACTGGTAGTAGTAGTAGTAGTAATCTTTATTTATATACCGCCTTTTCACTGCAGATCTGAGTCGCGGTTTACAATTGTTATTTTTTGGGAGTGGGGGTGCCAGTACAGGAGGCACATGCCAGACCTATTGTACATGTTTTTAGTGGTAGGGGAAACCGGAGCACCCGGAGGAAACCTACACAGACACAGGGAGAACATGCAAACTCCACTCAGAAAGGCCCTTGTCCGACCAGGATTCGAACCCAGAACCTTCTTGCTGAGAGGCAAGAGTGCTATCCACTCAGCCACTGTGCCGCCCTGGTAAAGCCGATAATGACAAATGAGCTACAAATGATGTATAACAGGCTTATAGACCAGGCTCTCAATGACCCTTGATCCAGAGGGCCACAAATCAGATCCCCCTTTGACAAATGTTGGTTATCAGGAGATATCTGACTCTTCTCTACTCATCATCTGAAGAGCGAGTCAAGGGCTTGTTCTGGTCCCATGAAAATAGTAGCACGGTCTTGTCTTATGTAGTAAAACTTTTACACAATGCTTTTGAATGTCTTTGATTTTCTGCATCAAAATACTAGTATCACTAACGATTACTGTTTACTTTTAGTTTGATTTGCAGCACGTGCAGTCTAGACGTCCTGGATTGATCAGCACATTAGGCTTACTGAAAAGCATTTCTGCGAATAAAACCCTCAGTCACGTCCCACAATATTCTGGCATTATCAACAGAGCCATTATCAAGACCACAAATTCATTTAACTCTGAAATGAATTGAGTTTTAAGAATATCTCTGGTCCTATTGAAGCACCAATGAGATGTGTGTGAGGTGTGATGATATTGCTGCATCCA